TTATTATTATTTCTCTTTTTTTATGAGTCCGGCAAACAGAACCGTCCCTCGAGCAGCTAAGGTACTCCGTTAGCTTAGTCGGTATCATGCTGTACTGTGGAGTGAGTGTACAAGTTCGATTCCCCGACAGGGCGTTCTCGAATTCGAGTTGTTTTGTGGAGTTTTTCAAAGCTTTTTACCCACTTGGCTCGGTCTCATTGGAGATGGACGTTAGACCCATCTCCCCTATCCAAAACTCTATCTCCCCTAATCAAGTTCTTTCGTACTGTGTACTCTTAGTCGCTTCGTCGTATACAAAAGACTTAACCCACGGACACACAGACACAGACACACAGACACATAGACACATAAACACATAGACATACAGACAAGGGACATAATTAACTCACAGGACACACAGACACACAGAAACATAGACACATAGACACATAGACATACAGACATACAGACAAGGGTCATAATTAACTCACTGGACACACAGACACAGATACACAGACACAGACACATAGACACATAGACATACAAACAAGCGACATAATTAACTCGCCGGACACACAGACAAGGGATAGAATCAACCCCGGACATATAGACACACAAACAAGGACAAGAAGACACACAGACAAGACCCCAACATACCAGACACCCAGACACAAAGACAATGGACATAACCAACTCACCGGACACACAGACACACAGACACACAGACACACAGACACACAGACACACAGACACACCGACAAAGAACATAATCAGCTCCCCGGACACACATACACACAGACAAGAGACACCATCAACTCACCGGACACACAGACCCACAGGCAAGAGACACAGCTAACTCACCGGACACACAGACACACAGACAAGAGACACAGCTAACTCACCCGACACACAGACACACAGACAAGAGACACAACCAACTCACCGGACACACAGACACACAGACAAGAGACACCATCAACTCACCGGACACACAGACACACAGACAAGAGACATAACCAACTCACCGGACACGTAGAAGAGGTTGCTCTGCACCAGCAACAGCTCGGGCGTCCACTGGTCGGGCCGAATGTACAACGTCATCAGCCGCTGAGCGTGGAACGGAGCGAAGCAGATGAAAAAGGCAACCACCACAGCCACTGTGGGAGGGGTGGGGTGGGTTGGGGGGGGATACGAAAAACAAACGAACAACATGTCAGTAAAATTAAGGCTCAATCGGATCAGGTGTATACTCGCTACCCTTACTCCCTCTCCTCGACCCTTGACTTGCATCGTTCGGGAAGGGGTAAAAAGGAGACCGGGGGGAGGGGGGTATGGAAGAAAATGAGAGCAGAAGATCAGAAGACGTAGGGATTTTGTCCCCCCAGAATGTCGTCCAGTCGTGAAGTTCTTGCTTGTTTTCAGAGAACCGTTTCTTTCATTGGACGTCCTCTTTTTCGTTTGTCTTCAACTGTGGCCTTCGTGATGTTTGTTTGTATGACTTTCACTGACATGGACTACGTGCTGTAAAGTAAATGAATTAGTACGTTGATGTCAGCTCCTCAGAATAGGGAATTCTGATTGAATGACTGCGAATGTTTCAGACACCCAGGGGCAGTGTTTGGATCATTTACTTCAACATTTCACGTAAGGACAGATCCTAGCAGAGTAGGATTCAGCATCCAAGCACGTAGCGTTGGTGGCCTAGCGGTTATGCTACCGGACCCGTAATCGTGAGATTGCAGGTTCTGAGGTTCGAGCCTCAGCTGGGTACGACGTTGTACACTTGGGAAAGGCACTTTACACGAATTTCCCATTTGGCTCGGTCGTTACGGAGATGAACGTTAAACTCGGAGGTACCGCCTCTTAAATGACCTAACAATGTTGATAGGGGCGTTAAACCTATACAATTTCACCATTTCACCATCCATGCAGAGAAAAAAGAGAGACACTCACGTCTCATGCTTTACCATGGACGAGCCTAAAAGTTACACCACAGACATCGACCGGTATGGAGATTTATAAAAACAACAACCCTGTAATCAAGGTGGTTTTCACCGTGGACGACGTTTTCATATTATCATCATCACCATCTCACTAGACTTAATTACAAGTCTGAAAAGCTCCAGAGCACAGTCTCTCTCTCTTTCTCTCTCT